ATTAATCAAATAGCTGGTGTATCCCTAAAGTAGTATAAAGTGACACGCTGTGTGAAATCAATTTTCCCTTCCAAAATCATTAAATTCAGTAGCCTGTGACTACATCCCTGCTAATTCTAGTACCGGTCCTTTCATCCTCCATTAACTTTGGCACGCCTAACAGGCTGTCAAAAATAATTTCCCAGAACGTAAATAATTCAGAAATTAAAAATTAATAAATAATAACAGAGAGCTACTGGGAGATAGACTGGGTCAATTAGTCAGCTCTGCATTCTGTTTCTTCGCAGCAGGGGGGCAGCCACATTCGTTACTAGAATCTTTCCTCCGATTCCTAGGTCTGATTTACGACTCTTCATTACGGGATCCAGTCAGACACAATTACCTCCATCACTATCTCAGTTCCTAACTTCAAAGAAACACACATTTTCTTGTCTGCTTTTTTTCTCCTTGCAGCAGCCTCAGCTTGACGTCCCTGGAATTTCTTCCACGCGGACTAATTAATAAGACTTTGACTTATCATATTCACTTCTCTTCTTTGATGTCCTACCTTAGTCAATCATCCTATTTAATTAGAATTTCAATGATAACTTTACTTATCTCGTGGCTAGATGTAAATTAAAATAACGGGATTTTAATTCTCTTTCTTACAGGGTTATGACATTTTTGACAGAAAAAGTTTCAACCCAAATACGATATTATGTACTTCCTATGCTAGGACTGCATTCCACTAAATTGTTTTTCCCTTTGCTACAAAATAATTTTGCTTGTTTAACAAGCTCCACTGAAATGGAAATGAACTACAGCTTCTTATAACGTAATTTGCACAGGTCTGTGTTGTGGAAGGCTATGTTGATAGAAATTAGTATAATCAGATTGTGACACATGCCACATAGTTAACAAGGAAAGGTAATAAGGTTTTTAAGAAAAAAAATCAACTCTGGAGAGATAGTGGAGCCAAGGACCTCTTCTTTCTCCCCATTCCAACAGGTGCTAATACTTTTCCAAGATGTCTTGCTTCCTTTCCACATTTACGGATCTAAGCCTGTTGGTTGTATCCAAGCAGCACCTGAGGTTGGATTCTGACTTCAGTGAGACATTTCTAAAACACATACTGATACACTGTTCACTGCCTGTGATTTAACAGGAGCACCACACCTCTCAGCCCTCACATCTTTTCCTCTCTGCAGCATCCAGTATGTGTTTGCCCACAGGCTTGCTTTCCTTCCCATGCCTCTTAGAATTTGCCAGTCTGGACTGGTACAATAGCAAGTGAATATGAGTGAAAACGTGTTTCGTTTTTTAAATTGAAGCTCATTGTGCAGAAAATCCCTAGAGGGATCCACAAAGAGAAGTTAATGAGGCAGTGGAACCCTCCTGGGGCCTGGGAGATTCTGGGAAGTGGTACAGAAATGTGCGCAAAGTATAAGGGGACACAGCCAGGCCTATCAAGCTTTTTGCCTTTGCGAACTCTCACTCTTACTGTGTTGGAACTTTCCATGTGACTAAGCAAATTGTCATGCACATAGATAGGGGCTTTCAGTAAAAAGAGAGATCAAGAGAGGACCATGTAGAAAAGAAAAAAACAATTGGTCAACATACCAAGAATTGGTCTTAAACTATGAACAAAGCATTCTTCTGATGCATTAAACAGAATATGGTGACAGCCTACTAGCTGGTGCAAAATATATTCCATTACTAAACTGCCATCAGAAATGATTATACTTCCAATTGGATGAGATGAAAAAGAGTTTTAGTTTTGCACTGCCAACAAACAAGTACACCCTGGAAGCCAGCCTCCAGTTTTCTCAATGAAAAGGCCCACAACCTCAGGTGCTATGCTTCCACTGACATCCTGGAAGGGAAAAATTGATTTTATAGGATGCCAGTGTTACTTTACCACATTGTTGGGCTGTGCATTTGCTAATCCATCCCTTTCATTGCATTCAAGGAAAGAAGAAAATGCAGAAAGAGTTAACGAGACATGTTGGATGTGGAAAATGACTGCTCCCAGAAGAGACGTTTTGGTCCTGTGAAGAAGTAGGAGTAACAGAGAACATGAATCACTTGACTAATCTGTACAAAATGGGCTTAGTGAGCTTCTGCTTCAAATCTTATCCCCACATTAGATAGCATTAAACCAGTTGTCATTAAGCTAACATTTCCAGATGCTCTGGTGAGCCGTTTGCCTGATAGCCCTGTTCCTCTTAAAAAAAGAACTGAAAATGCTTGAAAAACTAGGCCAGTACATCAGCAGAAGCAAATGGCAGGAATTTAATTGGCAGTTTCTAAAACTTAACACTGGTTGACTTTGGAGCCTAAATGGGATAAGTTCAAGAGCATATCAATACTATTGTCAATAATCAAATAGTTACCTGTTGCACTGACAACATCTAAACTATTCTATCATAATTTAATAGTGTTGTTCTTTAACAATTGGATTCTGTTACACTTTTATATTTAGGCATGATTATTTAATCTAATTTAATTGGCTTTCTTATTCCCCTCAGGGTTCTGGGCCTAGAAAGTTCATGTTAAATACTCTAATTGCTCTGAAATTTACTTGTCTTCTAAAATATGCCTCTATTTTAAATATACCCTAAAATCTAGTTCATACATATTTTCTCTTCTTTCATGAATTAAAAAATAATTCTGGTGTCCATGATTTGCACTTTAAAAGAGTCAATAATTAACCAAAATGATAATTATAGATTGAAAACAGGGAGGATGCAGTACAACAAACTGTGAGTTACATAAATAAGGCCAGGAGCACACATCAAAGCTTTCTGAGTACCTGCTAATCTCCAAAAGCAGAGCTGAAGCCACTAACGATGGCAGCAGCACCCTACATGCTTAATATGTGGGTCCCTGAGTATCTTTGGGGAACAGTGCTCAGGTCAGTGAAGCAAAAGAGCATTTGAAGGCTCACAGACAGAGGGCCCAACCCCATCCTCCTTGCAGATGGTGATTTCCCACTGATGCTGTATGAAGATTTTGTCTGTGCAAGTTAGCATCAGTTGTGGCAGTAGCCACAAGGCATTCACATGCACCAGAAGAGGGAGGACTTGGTGTGGCAGTGGGAACAGCACCACTGCCACCAGAGGTTGGGGAGCAGAAGTGATGGAAAAGTGTGCTTTAAAACCTTTTGGTCTTTCATGTGTCAGAGCCAGGTGGCAGGGTTGGATCCAGACCCATTAGTAAGGTCACATATGGATAGCAGAGGCCAGATGCTGATTTCAGAACACAGAGGCAGCTCTGCTTGTCAATATGCTCCTCAGCTTGGCAGGGACTGGGGGTGTGGGATGAGAGCTGAAACAAACATCTGGGAGAAGTGTAGTCCAGGGAGTGTTTCTCCTTTCCTTCCTGTCAACACAATGCTTAATGGAAAGGTGAGGGGCTGCCAGAGGTACCTTCTGTGCATTTAGATTTTAATATGGCAGGTCTGCCATCACTAGAATGCTGTTTCTGGCTACTGACAACCCATTCTATGGTCCCTTAGCTCTGGCTATTTCCTTTATTTTCTTTTGTCAGGGGTCTCCCAGAGGCTATTAAATAGATTTCACAGAACATTCTGAGTTCAAAGGGACCTGTAAGAATCATTGAGTCAAATTCTTAAGAGAAAAGCTCATACAGGGATTGAATCCACAGGCTTGGTGTTGTTAGCACCGAGCTTGCACCAGGTGAGATAACCTAAGGTCAGAAAATGTGACTCAGCTCAGGACACGTGGAGGATGCTGATGGATGAATACAGGGAGGATCTATTAAGGGAGAGTTCCACTAGCTGTGTCCTTTTTTCCCTATGCTTTTCCTAGGTACGTGTGGCCTGGTCCAGGGCCAGGAAGGCCAGTGCTGGTCAGCAGCGAGGGCATCTCGAGGGGAACGGAGCATGGCAGGAACAGCCCTGCAGTGCTCCAGGCAAGGCTTTCGAGGCATTCTGTGGGACCAGCCTTTCCTAGGGGAAGTTTTGTGTCAGACACATGGTTCCCAGGTGCGTCACGCGCCAGTGTGCCCTCGAAAAGCCTGTAGGAGTGACTTATTCTTCAGAGCTTAGAACAGCAGGATGGGGAATGGCTGCTGGGCCCACAGCTACGTAGCTACATAATGGAGCACAAACCCTTCTTTCCCTGGACAGAAGCCGATATTTTAGTGAAACAGTTTTTCAGTGAAATACACAATAAATAAAACGGCGCCTCCATGGCGCCCATTGCTCCGGCTCCCGATCCTGCCGCTGAGCGGCGCCCGCCCCGCTTCAGCCGCGCAGTATGGCGCCATCTAGCACCTCCGTGCCGTACAACATGGCGCTGCCCGCTTGCCGCCCTGCGTGGTAGACGGACCCCAGCGCGCAGGCGCTGCTATTTCTTCCGTTCTCCAGCGCGCCGCTATTTCAATGTTGACTCGCGTATTTCCGCTTCCTCTTCCGGGTCCGGCGGCGCCAGGTATGGCGGTGGGCGGCCGCGGGCTGTGGGCGCGCATCCGCCTCCATCGGCGGCCCGGCGGGCGGCGGGCGCCATCCGAGGCCCCGAGGGGTGCGGGGATGGACCGGCGGCGCTGCCGCTGCCCGGGTGTGGGCTGGAGCGGGGGCAGAGCTGCCCGGCAGAGAGGCCGGGCCTGCCGAGGCCTCTGCGGTGGGGCTCCCGAGTAGGGCCTGCGTCTCCCGGGGCTGCGAATGGAGCTTATGTTAACTATAAAATACGGAGCTGCTAAAGCTTTAAGCAGTCTCTTAGGAGAGAGTGACATAATCCAGTCAGGACTCGGATGTTTGAGCGGTGTTCAAGTTAGTTCGGGTGAATCTTCTTTGCGGATCGTGCCCGCTGTCACGGGTTTTGTTTTTCTCTAGTATAGTCCTGCTGGCTGTCGCTGATCAGGAAAGGCTTTAGTTCTGTTAATATCGAATTGGCAGCTGCTGATTCACATCTGGCTCTGTACGGGTGACCCTGTCAGGTGCGAACTCCTGTGTGGACATCGAGCTCTTAACTAGTGCCACTTTGGTTTTGCTTATTTAGGGGTGAAAAATGGTGCAGCGCCTGACATACCGCCGTAGGTTGTCCTACAACACAGCTTCCAACAAGACCAGACTGTAAGTAAGGCCGTTTGTAAGGAAGCTTCCGTTGTAAACAGGGGATGCTTCAGTTTCGATTGTTACCTTAACTGAGTGTTTTTCTGCTGTGCTTAGGTCCCGAACACCCGGGAACAGGATTGTTTACCTTTACACCAAGAAAGTGGGAAAGGCCCCCAAGTCAGCGTGTGGTATTTGCCCAGGAAGACTTCGTGGTGTAAGTTTGATTGTAAACACCTAAGGGTGTTTCTCTGCTGCAACGTTTCTTCAGTACAAAGAGCCTTTCCAAGTATACAGTGGACCTGTTTATTGGCCAGTTCTTGTTGAAGTAACCTTTTCCTCTAAAATATTCAAATCAAATGTTGTATAGTTTGCTGGCAAAATAAGCTTTGGGGGCTCAAACTGTTTTTAATGCTTTTGGATTGCATTATTATTAAATATAAACTCTTGTTTTAGAAAGTCTGAAATTCTTAAAACTAGACAGGGCAATTCTATAGCAGATTTAAAAACATGAATTGGACCTATTAGACTTGCAGACAAAAAGGGTAAGCCAAGTTTAGAAAAGTATCGTATTTAGAAAAAAGGAATTAATGTTCTTGAAGTAACACCATTGCTTTTAATAGTTATGGGAATGCTTGAGTCATGTTGATCTTTGAGCAGTTCCTATCTTTAAAAAAAACAGTCTTTTTTATAGCCAATTTTTTAATGAATCTGTTGTTGAGCCCCTGTGGTGGAATGAAAAGATCAGCTTAGGAATGCTGAAGATGGCCCTTGCAATGAGCTGCGACCTCGGTCACTTTTTAGCATCTTGAATAGTAAACTTCAAGTGTTGCTGATTTATTTTTTTTTTTAACTATGAAAGTGATGTTGGTTTTTATGTGGCAGATACAAAAAATTATTGTCCTGTGACACACTTGTTTATTTTTTGCTGTCTGTAGGTCCGTGCTGTGCGCCCCAAAGTTCTGATGAGGCTGTCAAAAACAAAGAAGCACGTTAGCAGAGCCTACGGTGGCTCCATGTGTGCCAAGTGTGTCCGTGACAGGTAACTTACAGAAAGCCAGCTTTATTCCTGGGATTGCTTCTTAGAAAATTTTTACATCTCTCCCAAACTTTGAAGGCTCTTGTCTAACACTGGTGTTGGGAGATGGAGAGTGTGAGTGTGGGGCACGTGGGGCAATGATGTGTGTGATTTTGTCCCTTCCCTGCATGCGAAGCTCCTTTTGGAGAGTTCTTCAGGATTTCTTACTGCACTGTTGCACTGATACTAAACAGTCAGCTCATGCTGGGTTTTTGTCTTTTGAATTGACTGACCATAGTAATGATTATTCTGTTCTGTTGTCCTGTTTTGCCTTATGCAGATTTAATTGAATTTTTCACTTCTTTGTAGTGTTTGGGGATTCACAGATACTACTTGGTTGCGTGTTAAGCAGCTTTATGTGGTTAAGCTTTAAAGCCTTTGCCAGGCCTCACTGAATTAATTTTTATTGTGTAGTAATTTCATATCCTATGCTTCCTTGTCAAGTTTGAGGAGAAACATGACCATGAGTGTGTCATCTCTGTGAATGGTAAACAAAGCAGATCTCTGGGGTCAGTGGTCCTATGCCAAGGTTTTTTTCATCTGTAGTGCCAGCAATTTTTTTTTGCTTGTTTGTTTTTGTCATGTGTAAGTTCTAAGATAAATTACATTAGGCACCATTAAAGATGAGCAGTTACAGCTGCAGAGCAATAGCATAACTTTTCTGTGTTAAAAGCCACATTTTTTCTGAGTGTTTTCCCAAACTCTTTATGAGCTTGGTAGGTAATTTTTAGTGCATGTTTTATTCTGACTGTGCCTAAACCAGAAATTACGGCCGCCTCCTTTCCTGTAATGGTCAGGTTTTCTCTTGCACCCGCTTAGGCATCTTTGATAGATTTGCATTGGAGAAGTAGCCATGTGTACCAGATACTTAGAGAAGGCATTTTAATGTTTAAGGGTAGCAGTGTGTGTGGCACACTTGTGCTGTTAACTCAGAACCATCAAATAGTCTGTTGGTATGTGAATGCTGGTGCACAGATCTGTCCCGTCTACCTGGTGCCCCTACAGGTCTTCCAGAAATAGTTGTATTTGGGCACAACTTGACCTGCTAGGCTTTTCCCTGTTGATGTGCAAGGAGCTTTAATCCTGACAGGGAAAGTATTCCTGGTTTTGATAACTGGATGCATGTAGTTTCCTGTAGTTCTGAGGAAGAGAGCTGACCACGACTTGTCACACCAATTCTGACTTCAACAGAATTGAATTAATTCTCCAGTTAGGAGTTCTGCTTTTTGCCTTTGAAGTTTGTGAGGATGGTAAATTTTCCCATGTTCAGTCATCGAGTATTACCTTGCTTGCCTCCAAGCCACTTGCCTAAATTTGCAGGCACTGTAGGCTGCCATCCCCAAACTGCTACATTCATACAGTGCTACTGTCCCTGTCTTTTGCTGCTGGCAAGAACAGCAGTGGGTTCCCTTTTTATGTAACTGGAACTAACACCACATATGCAATGGATGTAGGAGATGGCAAAATGAATTGTAATACATCTTATTTTTGTGTTTTTACATTAGTAGATTGACACATATCCTAAAGTAGTTTTTCTTTTCCAGGATCAAACGAGCTTTTCTCATTGAGGAGCAGAAGATCGTTGTGAAAGTGTTGAAGGCACAAGCACAGAGCCAGAAGTCAAAGTAAATCTATTTGTGGTTTCAGCCCAATAAATGAAATCTCCACTTCTCTTGTGTCCTGTCATTCCATGTGTGGCTCAAAGCTGATGGGAGCTGCTGCTTCTCACAGGTTGTACAGTGCAGAGCTGGGTTTTGCTGCAACAGAACCTGTAGGTCAGGATGCTCTGTTCAGTGCTGCCTGCTGAGAGGGGAATCAAGCAGCTGGAAGGAAGTCTGGTTAAACAGGACTCCCAGCTCAGGCTCAGTCGTGTCAAGGGATTGGAATAACTTTCAGCAGTGCAGGTTTTCTTTCAGCAGCTGTTTATAAAGTCATTGGAGGACTTGGCTCAGAAGAAAATTCGGACTTTGAAAAATAAGAGAAAACAAAAGAGGACAGCTAGTATAAGCAGTCTCAGGTAGATTTTTTTTAAATTGTATGTGGTGTTATTCAGTGAGGGTGGAGAGAATAGTTTTAACTTCTCAAACCCAGTGCTGTATCCACGAGACAGTTGCCTTCTGCTACATCTGGATCTGGAAGAAAGCTGCAGCTGCTGTATCCTGTTAGGTCTTCCTGGGTCAGCAGTTACTGGTACGATACCAACAGAGCTCCAGGGCACAGGTAGGACAGACCTTTAAAGGCTTCCCGATTTAGAGTAGCATTTGGGCATCTGGTAGTGAAATCTGAACCAAAGTTAGTTGGTTTATCATAAAGGATGTAATTGTAATGTAAAAAGTGAAAATGGCTTTGCTTCATTCTGTTTCATAGAGAACTGTAAATATGTCTCTTAATGCTGTCCAGGAGTGTCATAAACCCAGTCAGGATAATTCTTGCTTTGCCTGTATGTGCAGTGGTATGCCTCAGCCCCAGCTCTGAACTTTGAACTGCTTTTACTATATGACAGGCATCTATTTTTACCTGGTTTTAAGTAATAACTGTTTTTTCAAAAAGTAGTGAGCTCTATCCTGAGAGGTAGGAGGAGAAATAACTGAGCACAGAGGCTTACTGGGAGCTGTGAGGGGCTCCTAGGGTCACCTGTGGAGTCAGCTCAGGCTGTGGCTCAGATGTGTGTGCAGGTCACTGCTGAGTGCATGCTGCCTTTTTACCCTGCCTACCCTGTCAGCTATACAGTCAGCCAAGGGACAGAGGACAAGGCTAAGTTGAAAAGCCCTTCTGGTGGCAGTGAGCTGGTGCTTGGGGTGAGGTGCCTGGCAACTCTCAGCTGCCTCCTGGGTGTGACAGCAGGAGGTGGCTCTGGTCCAGGATAAGTGACTTAATACCATGCATGGTGAAAGGAGTTGTACCTCCCCAAGGATTTCTTCACTGAGTCCCAAGGAGTTAAAATAATTCTCAATATTCTCAAAATGGATGTTATAGCTTGAATTATGTGAAACATTTCTCCTCAGCTGGGGTGCAAAGGCTGTAGCTCATTAAGGGAGGTTTTGAGACTAACATTACTAGTCTTAACATTTTTGGGTGCTGTTACTATAGTTACTTTACAAGGTTAACACTTCCTTAGCTGTCTTTCTGCTGTAGTACAAACTTTAGTACTTAGTATGCTGGGGAAAAAAAAGCAACTAGGACAGGCATGTGTAACCTGCCCCTGTTTTGCATTAAAGGCTCTGAGATTAGTTTTCCTTCGGGCTTTTGGAAAGGAGTAGAGATGGAAGGAGAATAATTTTGGAATAAGGCGGATAAATGTCATAAACATCTGTTGATAGGCACTGCAAGGGAGATTCTTCCAAACAGGAAGGGTAAGACTGAAAACAGCTGTAAGTGACATGATTGCACCAGAAGGCGACAGTTAGGAGAAGTGGTATTGCCACTACAGGCAGAAATCATAGCAGTCCTTAGGCAGTGTATCAGTGGAATAGTAATGAGGCCCGTAATTATTTTAAAACTGAGCAGTTGGCTGCAGTGTAGGAATGGGGCAGACATTTGGGGAAGGCCTGTGCAGTGGGAAGTAGGCTGGGTAGCATGGCGAGGTGTGCGGGTTCCGCTGGCGTGTGTGCTTTGGAACGAGCTGGAGTGTAACCTGGAGGAAGAGTTCTTCCCCGCCCCTTTCCGTAGAGAGGCTTCCACTCAAAAGGGGGAGTTTTTCTGAGGTGCCGCCTCGGTGCTGCTCTCCGAAGCGAGCTGAGGACAGAGGCAGGAGGGGCCAGGCTGGGCTGGGCCGATGAGGTGTGTGCACCCTTACCGGGAGCGTGTGGGATGGGCTGTAACACACGATATACCCTGCTTGCTCTCAGCAGCGGCTGGTGTGATGTGCCTTTTCCTGCCTGGTCTGTGTGGAGCTGCCGGGGTGACCTGTGGCTGTGGGTCAGGACGGGCACCAAATCCCACGGTGCGCCCAAGGGGCATCCCAGCCCCACGCTGCCCTGCAAACACAGGGACTGGGGTAAAGTCCTACAACGGAACTTGGTCTGCTCGCCGGGTCTGCATCCCAGCCTGACTGTGCAAAATCACCCGCGGGACGTGGCTTTTCCTTCCCCCGCCGGAAAACTGCATCAGCACAGGGGTGTCCAAAGCGTGCTCCTACCCCGTGGTGTCCCGCCGGTGACCAGCGGGCAGGGCGGCGGCACCGGGACACTCCCGGCCCGCGGCGGCCACGTGGCTGCACGGCCGGGGCGGGGCCTGCACTAGGCCACGCCCCCGGCCACGCCCCCGCCCGGAGCCAGTTCCCAGCGCCGACACGTCAGGACTGCCGGGTCCTGGCAGGTGCGTAAGATTGATAAACCCTTCGTCGGCGGAGTGGCGGCGTTTCTCTGATTTTATGCAGACAAAAAAAAAGTCTGAACTTTCATTTAAGCCTGGTCGCAAGTTCCTAGTGCTTTGTTTATTTTGTCTTTTTTAGCAAGCGATCCATTTCCCCCCTGTCGGGACGCGGCAGCCCGTTTCCGTTTCCGCCTTCGTGTCCGTGGCGGAGCGGCACCGGGCAGCGCCGGGAGGGAGCAGCGGGGCCGCGGCCGCCCCGGGACCGCCCCGCGGCCATGGAGACGCTGTACCGCCTGCCCTTCGCCGTGCTCGAGTGCCCCAACATCAAGCTGAAGCGGCCGAGCTGGGTGCACATGCCCTCGGCCATGACCGTGTACGCGCTGGTGGTCGTGTCCTACTTCCTCATCACCGGAGGTGAGGCCGGGGGGAAGGGGGCCCCGCTCACGGAGCAGCTCTCCCGCGGTCCCTGCCACCCGGGGACCCCGTGTCCGGGTCCGAGCCGCCCGTAAAACGCGAGCCTCGTGCAGCCCCCAGCGGGCCCGCGGTGTCAGGCGGATCCCGCCGCTGCGAGTCAAAGCCGGTGCTTGCTTTCCTCCCCGCAGGAATTATCTATGACGTGATCGTGGAACCTCCGAGCGTGGGGTCGATGACAGACGAACACGGGCATCAGAGGCCGGTGGCTTTCTTGGCATACAGGTAAGAGCAGGGCCCTGTTCCCGCTGGCGACGTGCTGCAAATGCCTGAGCTCAGGGGAATAAACCCTGTCTTGCCGAGCTGTGCGTCTGTTCCTTCCCTTCCCTTCTTTCTCTGTAAGGCAGGAGTTGTTTTATATCAGTTCTTGGTTTGCCGAGAACTGTTTTTTGATTTTTACAAAAACCCCACCAAACCAACATTGAAACCAACAGAAATCAAACAACTTAGTTCTAAAACTTTTGAAAATAAAAGGTCTGGTAAAAAGAAACTGGTTTGGGCTGTCAGGTTGAACTTTATACTGGATGCAGATGCATTGGATGAATTTTTGTTGCAGAATATGTAATGTAAAGTTTGGGAAACTTTTGTTTGTTACGTTTTAAACTCTAGTGTACTTGGGACTCTGGTGTGGAACATTGTTACAAATGTGTAATAACAGGGTCTTCGCTGTGCCCTTGGCTTCTATTACTGAAAATGAGCTAGAGACTCCTAGAAACAAACCAGTCTGAGGAGAGTTAAGTCTGCTTTTCTAACTGTGGGGGGTGAGCAGGTGTGTCTATGTGTGGGGAAACAAATAATGATTTCTATTAAATACCCAAAAAGTTGGTTGAGTCCGTGAGGTCTGTGACGTAGTTGGTGTGACAGATTTTGACTTGGACTAGATGTGTGTTTCAGACTGGGTTGGATTGTTGCAATGTTGACAAATCAAGTTGCTGTGGGGAGTTGCTAGCACTGTCATCTGTCAGTGTAAACAAGACAAGAGAAGACAAATTTGTTTGTTTCCAGGATATGAGGCAGTAATGATAAGCTTTATTTCTGTCTGGGCATCCACCATAGTTTCATCAATGCCAGTTTTATGAGGTTGCTAATTAGGAGGACAGGAAAATGTCTTAGTGACTGTGGGAAGCAGGAGACTTGTGATCCAGGTGCAATATTCCTTCTGCATCTGGTCTTGCTCACCCTCCATCTCTTTCTATTTGTAAAAAGGGAGTCCAGCTGTCTGGGCTGACAGAGAGCCCCAGGGGGCACCCTCAGGCTGCTCCCTGCAGTGGATCCATGCAGGCTTAGCAAGCAGCAGAACATCCTGCAGGATGTGTGGTAGAACCAGCAGGTGTGCTTCACATTCTGCCATAGTGCTTTGAGAGGAATTTGTCCTGAGAGGAGGATTCAGGCAGTCCTGCCTAAACATGGGGATGGAAATAAGGAGGTCGTGGTGCCATGCCTTGGGCCCATCTGTATAACCAGGGACCTCCTTGGACTAGGTGGTTTTGCAAACCAGTGAGTTGGGTGGTAGCTGTTGGTATGCACAAATATGTATAAATCCTCCTGTGTGCTGGACTGGGCACCTTGTTTCTGGACAAAAATTGTATATTGAAGTCTTGATGTAATTGTATGACATCAGTTTCCTACTGGCTTTAGTTAGAAATTCAGCCATCAAAGTTAATCATCCTGTGTATTTGTACAGCTAAAACATGTTGAGTAGATGGGGTTTGAAATGTAAATAATTTCTTTAATCTTTTTCTGACTCTTTTCACCTTTTTTTTTTCTCCTTTAGAGTAAATGGACAGTACATTATGGAAGGCCTCGCATCAAGCTTCCTCTTCACAATGGGTGGCCTAGGATTCATAATTCTGGATCGATCCAATGCACCAAATATCCCCAAGTTG